ACCTTTACTCATTGAGCGATTCAGCGAGTCGCGGACAAAGATGGACCCCGCGAACACGCCGCTCCATGACTCTGCAGCAAACCCAGAATGCCGTTCGAAACCAGAGTATGAGAAACTGGCAGCACAAGTCCTACATTTTGTTCCCCTGATCCTCCCCCCCCCCGCCCACCGGTCCGGCCCGCGGCTCCAGCCTGCGAATGATATCATCACCGCTCTGAGCCGTCTGCTGGACAGAGCGCACTTCAATCGAGGAGTGTCCTGCCACCTGTGCGTGCCTTACCCCCGTTCTCTCCTTCTGCCGCTATACCACAGTCCACGATCGCAACACAAAATACAGCGCGCAGAGTCAACGCCTCGGAACGGACACTTGGCGGCGAGAAGTGATGGTGCCCGGGTCCCTCATGACCGACGACCGACACCCGGCCAACCAGCCAACGGACCACACACGTGAACCCCGTCCAACCGTCATCCCCCCGCCGAGCTCCTGGCTCCCATCGAGCTCCCAGGAAGCGCGCCACCTAGCCTCTGGTTCACTCGGCCCAATGATCTGTCTATCCTTTCCCCCTTATACTTTTGCGTCGCTCCATTTCTCTCCTACAACTTTTGCGTACCGTGGCCCCCCCAACTGAGCCACCGCCCCCGCTTCCGGGCCAGCCCCAGGGGTTGAGAGGTCCCCAGGACAGGCCCTTTCCGCTGGAGCCTCAATCCTGTTCTCTGTAAATGGGGGGCACTAAGACAAGACCGGTCAAAGAACGGACAACGATGCCGTCCCACTGCCCAATCGCCTGCCCCATTTTCTGGGGGTTGCACCCCAGTTCTTTAGCTGTCGGCCACCCAGGGCTGGCTCAGGCGCCCTTTCTAGCTGGTTCATCGTCGCCCATCTGCCATCTGTACAAATGGACACAATTTTGTGTGGTGAAGGATGCCCCATCGTGGTAACGCAGCAGCGCCCGCAGATCTTGCGCTCAAGTAAATGGATCTGCCCATCGTCACAACCGCAGGAGGGGGGCTCCCCGTTTGCCCAGGGTCATTGCATTCCCTGGCTCCGCCAACACCCTCCCCATCCGCAGGGGCCTTTATACTGCAGCCCGGAGCCCCATCCGGGCCTCTGGCTGGGGCAGCCTTCACTGCGCACTGGACAAAAGCAGACCAGGAGAACTGTGCCACGTCTCCCGGCCGGTCCCACGCCTCGCTGAAGGACCAGGTAGGGCTAATGCTGGACTTTCCTCAGGGCCTGGCCGTTTTGCCTTTGTGGGCTGCCAGCATTCTCATTAAAAGCAAACGATACATACACTCATCGATTCATAACTTTAACAAACGGTCTAAAGAGAAATAACCCAGGCTCCCAGGTAGAGTCTATTCATTTGTTTCTGTCTGAATTTAAAGAAATCAAACACATTCCATGTGCGCCCTAGACATATTCTGGCTTAACAGACCATGCCTGCTGTTCCTGGCGGCCACACCCTCCACTGGCTGCCAGCCCTCCCCACCCCCTCCACCCGGCTTCCAGTAAGGGAAAGGAGCTGCCCGGCTGGTGGAGCAGCAAATTGGCCCAGTGCGGCTTCCTTCCGCCTCCCCCCTGCTACTGCGCACAGGGCCCAGCGCCATGGGGCAGCCCTGGGAGGCAGGATTTCTGTCCCCAAATACTTGCTGCATACCAGGGCCGAAGGGAGGGGCTGATAGACAAGCAGCCACAAGTGAGCCTGCCTCATGCCCCTCATACCCATTTCACACAGATGGCAACAGCTGCAGGCCAGAGGGTGAGGTTTTGCCTGGCCTGAGTGATCCACTGCTTCA